TTTTGCTGGTGGAGGACTTTGCCTCAGTGTTGATGAAAACACAGTCTCTGTGAAGTTCATTTAGAGTGAAGCACAGTAAAGCAAAGCACAATAAAACGTGGTATGCCTGGACAGTAAATCTGCAAGCATTTATTGCATGTTGATTACATGCTAGACACTGTAATGTGCTAAGTCCTAATGATGGACATCATTGACTTCAAAGAACTTAATTCTAGGACAGTATGGAGGTGCCCCCCAAAATGAAATAAAGCACAGCAATAAGAACTTAATTCTAGGAGGGGAGGTAGACAGTATGGAGATGCCTCCAGAGTGAAATAAAGCATGAATACCAAAACGATAGACCAGCTAGCATCAAGACGGGGTTATGAATCCCAGCTTCTTTTTGGATAGGGAAAGGTCATTTGTGGCAGGAACTAAAGCTGAAGGGCAAACCAGACTGGGCATGAAAGGCTGTATATTAGGCCAAGAAATTTGAGCTTTATCTTGGGACTCGCCCTTAGCAATTTTAAATAGGAGAGTAGCATAGTCTGATCTACCCCCTCTGAATTGATTTTTTTAATCCTCACCCAATGATATTTTTCCATTGATCCTTAAAGAGAACAGAAGGGTAGAGAGAGATACATCGATTAGTTGCTTCCCACATGAGTCCCAACCGGAGCCAGGGATCAAACCTGTATCCCAGGTACATGCCCTTGACTTGGAATCAAATCAAACCTATGGCCCTTTGGTACGCTGGCCGCCGCTCTAACCACTGTACAACCCCAGCCAGGGCTGAATTCTGATTTTAAATGGTGACGTGACCTCATGTGTTTATCAGTTGCTGCCCTTAAGCTGACATGCCAGTTGTAATATTTTCAGTAAGAGAAAACTCAAAATGGCATAAAGTCACCGTGGAGGAACCTTGAAGATATAGTGAGATAAACCAGTCACAAAAGGACAAATACGTATGATCCCACTTACAAGAGGTTCCTACAGTAACCAAATTCATAGGGACAGAAAGTAGAATGGTGGTTGCCAGAGACGGACGGGGAAGAAGGATTGGGGTATGGAGTGTGTTTTACAAGATGAAGAGTTCTGGAGATGGCGGAGGTGAGGGTTGCACAGCAATGTAAATGTACTTAATACCACTATACTGTACACTTGAAATTGGTTAAAATGGTAAATGTTATCTATTTTACCACAGTACAAACAATTGTCCCCCAAAGTGGCTTAAACTAAATGGAAAACATTATTTCATAACAACTTCATCGTTAGAGTAGCTTCAGGGTTGGGCGAATTCATGGTTTCAGCAGTAGCAATAAGAGACCCAGGTTGTCTTCATCTGTCTGCTCTGCCATCCTCCACACATCAGCTTCATCCTCAGGCAGGTCCCCTTGCAAGACATCTGCCCCGGCAGAAATTACTTTCCAACACGACAGCCATGAAGAGAGACCGTCTTTCTCCATCTCTCTTTTTAAGACCAAGAAAGGCGTCCAAAGTCCCGTATTGCTCAGCATCTGCATTTGAATTTCTAACAGCCATTCCTTCAGCAGCATGGCCAGCACTGAGCTCCCGAGGTCCTCCTACATCCCTCCTCCTCACTGTCTTTCCAGTCTCATAGTGGCAAGTTCTCTTTTCTCCAAACCCTCCCGTCACTCAGGCCAAAAACCTTTGGGTCATTTTGGACCCCTCTCCTTATGTCAGACCCTATGTACGTCAACAGATTATTTTCTTTTGACCCTGCCTTAAAAATGTTTCCAGACTCCGCCTACTTTTCACCACCATGACTTTGCTCTGAGCCACTTCCATATCTTCCTGGATTATCGCAGTAGTTTAACCGGTGTCACTGTTTCTGCCCTTGATCACTTATTCATTGAAAAAAAATATTGGAGCCCTAACCGGTTTGGCTCAGTGGATAGAGCGTTGGCCTGTGGACTGAAAGTTCCTAGGTTCGATTCTGGTCAAGGGCATGTACCTTAGTTGTGGGCACATCCCCAGTAGAGGGTGTGCAGGAGGCAGCTGATCGATGTTTCTCTCTCATCGATGTTTCTAACTCTCTATCCCTCTCCCTTCCTCTCTGTAAAAAAATCAATAAAATATATTTTTTTTAAAAAAAGAAAAAATATTGGAGTTTTTAACAATGTGCCAGGTATTGCTCCTGGTCCTAGCAGTTCTGCAGTGACTAGAACAGATCAAACTCCCTGACCTCTTGGAGCTTTCTTTCATTCTGTTCTCAAAACAGCGGTCAGACTGATCTCTTTCAAATACAGTATAAGTCATTCATGTCTCTCCTTTGATCAAAATCCTTAGTTTCACCTGCCCATGCTAATACTATCTACCTGTAACTGAAGATGAGGAAAAGTCGGGTTTTAACATTGACGTTCCTGTTCTCTATTAAATGCTGCTATGCCACAGAGCCTAGTTCAGTTTGAATGTGGATTTTCAAGTGGGAGAAGGGAAAGGGAAGAATCGTTTCTAGCAGGTAGGACTCTAGAAGTGGAAAGCACTGCATTGAATGACTCCAGAGGCATCTGTGTGATAGAGTGGTCATTCTGCCTCTCTTCCTGCTCCTCCTGCCTTCTTTCACAGAATTCTTTGGGCAAAATAGAGCTTTTAAAACATATTGAAACCTCTATTAAATGGATGTTTTTTAAATTGAGATATAACATACATGCAGTAAAATACATTTTAAGTGTACTGCTTAATTAGTTTGTGCATGTGTATGTCCCGTGTAACTACTAATTCAGATCAAGATACATTTTGAGAACTCTCAGTCCATATTATCTTCCAAATGTAACCAATATTCTAATTTCTGTCACCATAAAATTAGTTTTGCCTTTATCTGATGGAATCTTTTTTTTTTTTTTTTTTTTTTAATGCTCACCCAAGGTTATTTTTTCCATTGATTTTTAGAGAGAGTGGAAGGCAGGGAGGAGGGGGAGACAGGGAGATACATAGATTGCATGTACCCTGGCCAGGGCAAGGATTTAACCTGGGAATCAAACCCTTAGGCCAACCCTCTATCCACTGAGCCAAACTGGCCAGGGCAATGGAATCTTTTATATCTAGTTTCTTTCATGCAAAACAAGGTATGATATTCACCCATGTTGTTGCAGATAGCTGTACATTTTTCATTGCTGCACAGTATTCCATTTTTTTAAAATACCACGATTTATCTATTCTATTGATAGATTTTGGGGATATTATGAATACATGTCATTTGTTGGATGTAAGAATTGTTCTTTTCACTTGACAGTATAAATGCTGGGTCATAGGATGTGCTGATGGATAGAGGATCTGATAAAGTGTCCGTACCCCTCTGTGGGGTTTTGAGAAGTCTTCCTGTATTCAGTGGTCTGAGCTGTACTGCCTGACACATTAGTCTTCATGTCTTCTCCTCGCTCTAGCCCAGGCCACAATGTTGAACTGAAGTAATGATTAGAATGCAAAGACAAGGTGATATTGTACAAGGTTATGAGTAACAGCAATCCTTGGATTAAAAGGGTAATTCTCTAGTGACCTGTTATCACAAGATATGGTTCTGTTAGCCCCATTGCATCAGTTCCATTTAGTACCTGAAAATTTTTGAAGGGGGTAGGAAATCCTATTCCTAAATAGCAAACGTTTAGGCCAAAGAATTAGGCCAGACTTGAGAGAACTAACAGTTAACTTGATTTCATGCACAGTACTGATCACTAGCAATACAAAGTGATGAACAAGATACATGGAGCTTGCCCTGCATAAGAGGCAGGACAGCCATCACGGTCCATTGTGGAGGGCAAAGCGCTGTAAGGAAAACTCTGGTTTTCATTTACGTCACACAAAGTGCTCTGAATACGACCACACTACCGACCCGTGACATATAGGTGTCCACACATCAGGCAGTTCTGCAACACCAGCTGGGTGTCCTACAATTTAGCTCAAGTCCGACACTATCTCCCTGGAGATAATGACAGATCTCACAGCTGAAGGGCTCAGTCACACAAGACTGCTCCCACTTCAGATTCCAGTCACGAGTCTAGGTTGTTACCTGTGCTTCTAACCAACGGGCTATAAATTGTAGGTTCCCACAACTCCCTCCTGAGGTTCAGTTAATTTGCCAGAGGGAACAACATGAGGAAAGAGGCAGACACTCACAGGAACTTAGAAAAATTAAAAATTCACTCCAGCCTGGAGCATAGTGTTTAAGGAGACAGTAGTTGCAGAAGATGGAAATATAATCAGATACTAGATCATGAAAAGCTTTAAAACAATAACAATAACAGCCAATGTTTCTGAGGAATTGGCCTTTTCCAGGCTCTAGACTAATCACATTTCATGGACTACCTCATGAATACTCAGCATCCTTAACACATAGGAACATCGTTACAGACGATAAAATGACAGGTCCGGGCCTTCTCTGGCGGCTCAAAAGCCCATTCTCTTCACCTCCCTCTAAGAGACCATTACATAAGCCATGCTTTATCTTCCTATGGGCTCAGCTTCTTGATAGTGGTGTACTTTGGATCGACTTAAATTAGCTAATGTTCCTGCAATGTTTGCAAACATAAAACTGGTATAAACTCCTGGTGCTTATACTGATCATGTATCAAATCAATCAATAAAAACAAAACTATAAATTAATGCAACTTAATTTCATTAGTCTTCATGTGACTGATGATATTTTGCTGAAGTTGTCACTCGCAAGGAGTGAGTAGGCCCTGGGAGTAAAGCGCAGCATACCTTTGCTCCTGGCGCTCTGTGGAAACCCCGTCTTCCCGCACCTCTGGTCTCTCAGCTTCCTAGAAAGCATACTGCTGTTGGGCTTCATTGGAGTGAAGACATCTCACATATGCAGCCTCTGAAAGACAGCACCTTGAATTCAAAATAATAGAAATGGTCCAAACTTTAATTAAAGTAAGATTCAATCTGAAACGCAATGTGGTCTGAGTGGGAGAGGAGGGAGTGTTTGGTGGCTTTTGAGGGTCGCTATGGTTATGTATAGTAGAGATTCTTACTTTTATAGTTTTGCTTCTTCACAGGGGTTGGCACCAGGAATTATTACAGAAAAATTGGCTACCGGTTACAAGGCCCGTACATGGTGAAGACACTAAAATATTAGCCCCAATAGTCCACCTGATGCAGTGTTTCTGGCAGGAAGTGGAGGTGTCTTGAATATTCAACAGAGAGGCTGAGCAAAGCAAATGGACCTACCCTGTCCCCTTGGCAAGAAGCTTCACCCTCATCCTGCAGCTGCGGAGACTGGAAACTGCTCTCAGGGCACGACCGGGCGTCTGGTGACCAAGCATGGAGCCTCTGGCGCTCGGCGCTCCTGTGCCCCGACCTGTGTGTTGTCAAGAAGTCACTCCAGTTTTCAAGGCTAAGTCGTGTACCCAGTTTCTAAATTCTGCATGTGGCCAGCAAGTGACTTACTCAGACTGACAACAGCAAATTAGTCAACTCATTTGGGTTCCATACTTCATGAAATAAAACTAGGTGGTGGGTAGAAGCAAAGTTAGGAGAAACTTATTTATATGCTGTAGGGACAAAAGGCAGGTTGAACACATGAAAACTGACCGATTTTTACCTCTGGACTTGAACACAGAAGCATTCCAGCACACGAAAATGAGCTTTTCTTCTATTGCAAGTCATTCTGGTTTCTGTGATGTTTGCAGTAACTGTGATGGAGAGAGGAGTTGACATATGTTTATGTTTCTTTATAACTGCAGAACAGTGTGGGCAGCACCTACACCCACAGAAACGATTGGCTTCTCCTTCTGTCTCTCCTGAGCAGGCGGAGTCGGGCGTGCGTCTTGGGTGGCGTGGCCCTAAGTAAAGATGCCCTCCCACAGGAGCTGTTCCCTGCATTTTAATTCTTTAAGATGAATTTCGGTTTGCTTTAAATGGATAAAGATAAGAGTTCAGCTCATATGAAAGCAAAACTAAAAACGGTACTGCAGAACGGGCCCAAGTCTAAAGATAGGAAAAAGACCGGCTTCTCCCAGCTCCACCTTGAACTGTCTCGTAAGTCCCAGGTTACCTAAGGAGACTCCGCCTGGAGAGGGTCAGTCCATGAGAGCATGGCTGAAGCCTGTGCCCCTCGGCTTCTGTGGCCTTTCACAAGGATCATTAAATGGGATTGATTCTTCTCAGAGGTACAAAAAATAAAACCAACAGAGAAGAATCACGTAAGGGGTTTTCCTCTCCCCTGTAAACGCGGTGGCAATTGCCATGAATATACAGGGTGGTTTCCAGCCTTTGACACTGTTCCCTCCCCCTGGGTGCCGTCTGCCGTTTCATTCAACTGCCACGAGGCCAATGCACTGCCTTCCCGTGGGCTCGGTGGAGCCAGAGGCTTTCCATGAGCGTAGTTTAGGGCACTTAGCTGCTTCTCAATTATGTGTGTGTTTCCTTTAAAAATAAAACTGTTACGCTAACAAAGCATATACTGTGATGGCTGTTAGCACACATGACGAGCTAGAAGGGAGAACGTGCTGGCCCAGGCTTGCCTCCACCGAAGTCTCTGCACCTCCAATTTCTCATCTGTCCTACTTAACCCCATGTGTCAAACTGTGTAAGGTGCAAACAAGTCCTTTGTAAAGTTGTAAAAGGACTTTCACATGTAAGGTTCATTGTAAAAGGACAGTTTAGAGCAAGTTTTTAAGACATAATTGCCTGTTTCTAATGGATAAGTCATTGTTTCATCTGGATTTTCATCTTAGGGCTCAGGAGTACCTACCTAGCTCATCCCCAGCCGTCCTAGGAGTGAGTCTCCTAGCCTTGAGCAAAGATGCGGAGCTTCTCAAGCTTCCCGGGGGTGCAGTCCCTGCAGCGTTCTGTTACTAGAAACAGCTTCTCTGCTGACTGCCAAGGACCTCTCCTGGCATTCATGGCGCTTGGCACTCCGGTGGCCTGGCCAGCCTGGCCCTCCCAGAAATGGCTGCTCCTCAGTAGAGCAGCCGCCTTATAAGAAAGATCCATTAGGCAGGACCCTGCGGCCTCTGTTTGAAACCTTGAGAGCTGCACCTTGGGTTCCTGATCTGTATTGAACAGCTGAGCAACCACCTCAAACCAAATAGCTCTGCTTAGTTCAGCTTCTTGTGATATCACCTGGAGTGTTAAAAAAAATAAAATTAAGAACAGACTGAAATCTATTTGAATAGAAAATGAGATTAAAAAAAAAAAAGATCCATATCACCCAGTGAAAGAATAAAGCTCAGTTTCTCAAATGTGGGAAAGAATGAACTCCCTTTAAAGGAAAAAATTTCCACAGCCTCAAAAGAATCCTGAGATGGCCCTGCCCGGTTTGGCTCAGAGGACAGTGTTGGCCTGCAGACTGAAGGGTTGTGGGTTCCACTGCAGTCAAGGTCACATACCTCAGTTGCAGGCTTGATCCCCAGCCTCAGTCTGGGCGCGTGCAGGAGGCAGCATGCCGATGTCTCTTTCACAGCGATGTTTCCCTCTCGGCTGTGTCTTCCCCCTCCCTTCCGCTCTCTGATCATCAGTGGAAAATATCCTTGTGTGAGGATTAACAAAAAACAAAGCCTGTTCTCTAAAAATGTCCTGCAAATTGCAAATTTTCATGTCCAAAGATTTTTTGTGAGACTATCATTAAGTTGAAAAACATTTATTCATAAAGAACTCACAGACCCCCGAGTTTATGAAAGACCTCGTGATCTAGGCTCTGCAAACCTGGGCTCCTCCGTTAACTCGGGGATGTGGGCAGGTCCCTCACCTTGAGCTGCAGCTTCCTGTTTCCCACGTGAGATGCACACCCATCTCTCAGGGTAAGTGTGAGTGTCAGATACGGTCACATTTGAGAGGCTGCATGAACCGTGCCATTTGCTATAGAAACAATTGTTACTCTGATGCAGTAGCTTCTGTCAGATGTGTGCCCTTGGGCCAGTAGATCCCTGGCTCTCGGCACAGTTCCTCTCTCTAAAATGGAAGCCATACGAGTACCTCCCCCATGCAGAGACCTGAATGAGCTCATGCGTGTAAGGTTCTGAGAGCAGGGCCTGTGGAGCGTAAAACACCAGAAGTCCCAGCTGTTACTAACATCTAACGGGGCAGACTCTGGCCCATTTTAACAAAGTTCTCTTGGCAGTAGCATCTGACTTTTTGCCAGTGTCAGAGAATAGTATCTGGTCTCTGAGGCCATTTCTTCCTCCTGTCGGTCCTTCTGTTTCATTCATAGAAGTCTAGGGTTGCAGATTGACAAAACCATACTGTGAAGGACGAGAGACCTGCTGAGACTCCCAACAGCAAAAAGCATGTTTAAATCTCCCTACAGTTCTGGGGGCTCCCCAGCAAGTTGTCCGATGTCAGTGTGGCTGCTGGTCTCCCCTGTGTGCTGGCAGCTGTGTCCCCTTAAGGAGTCCTGCATCAAATACATGCCTACAAAAGTAGCAAACCATCTGCATCCAAGTTCGCAGCGTTGTCTCCTCCCTCTGTCTTCACAGGCCTCGAACACTCCTTGTGCACCCGAACACTCCTCCTTCAGGGAAGAAACTACCACCTCCTCAGGCCCACTGTGCGCTGCCCCTGCACCAGAACATCCGTTACCTGGGTGATCCTCACTGCAGCCCTAGAGTGAGCACTGCTCTCCCCCCAATTAACAAGCAAGGACACCGGCCCAAAGACAGGGCCACCACGTTGCCAGTTCCAGTCGGAACCAGTTATAAAATGTCTGTGGCTCGCACACACATGCCACGTGCCCCTGGAGCGGCCCAGCAGGCAACCCCATCTCAGCTACTAAATGGGTTTAGGAGTCAGACCTGAGTCAGTGACTCAGACTTGCTCACTCCTCTACCTCACATTTCCTTTCTTAGGGAGAAAAGGTTTCAGGCGGCTTACGTTCAAGAGGACCCAACAGCCCATGTCATTTCACCCTCAACCACCAGCCTGCGAGGAAGGTCCTGTCTCAGGTTTTACAGGGGCAGGTAGTGGGCGTGAGTGGCTTCATCAGGAGAGAATGCAAAGCAATCAGTCTGCTCTCTATTTAAATGAAAACAGCTTTTTCTAAAAATTACGTATGCTCATTGTGGAAAAAATTTGAAGTAAAACAGAAAAGCACAGGATAACCTGAAGTCTCACCATCGCAGGCAACCGTGCTAAGCACTGCGATGAACATCCATCCATCTCCCCTGCCACACCCTGCCCCCCCGCCCCGCCACACACACACACACACACACACACACACAATCAGTTTTATTTAAAAGAATACACGGTATGTGTTGCTCTGTAACCTTTACTTGGCAAAATAATGGCAACATCTCACAGCAGAGCACGTGGCTCTACTTCGTCCTTTTTAATAACTACCCACCGTTCCACTGTCTGCAGCTGCCACAGCTTACTTAAGCAGGTCTTTCATCTCTTATATTCTTTCATATTCTTATTTTCACAACAACTAGAATGATTAAGCATGAGGGCTGCACACATTACTGACTCTTAAGATTTGCTTTAAATTTTTGTCTACAAGCAGTCACGCAGCCACGACAGGCTTCCTCGGTGTCCCTTCCTTTACTTCTACCGCCAAGTCTTTAGTCCTGCGTTCGTAACTCGCCGTCCAGGAGGTGAGGGAGGAGAAACCTGTCTGGCAGCTTGGCCTTTTCCATTAAGGCAGCAGCACGTTTGATGGTGAACAAGTCCCATCAAACAAAATGTCAAGCTGCTGGTTCACTGAAAGGTACTGGAGCGTAACATGCTTTTATTGAGGTTAGAGGTGACGGTACCTTACGTTTTCTCCCCTGATAGACGTTACTGCTTCAAGACAGATTCCCTTGCCAGCTAAAGCCTGCAGAGAAGGTTATCCGCTTGCACAGGGCTCATATTGTCCGGAAGATTAGCAAATGTGAGCGCCAGGAAGGTGACAGTAGCTACTGTCCGGATCAGAACATGGTGGGGGGCGGGGGGGAGGGCTCAGCACTTGGACCCCTCAAGAAAGAGCAGGCCTGGTGGTCAGCTGCCTGGGTTTGAGGCTTCTGCCTCTGTCTGGCTTTGCAAGAACTAGGGTCTTGGACCACTGTGTTTGGGGTGTTGGGGCAGCAGGCAAAGGATCATTTACATCTACCTGAAGAAAAGGGAAGGGAGGAAACGGGGAAAGAGAAAGAAAGGGAATAGTATCTGTTGAGCAGTTAGGCCTAGTCTTGACCTCACAACTATTCTCTGAGGCAGGAATTACAGCCTCCATTTTACAAATGAGAAGCCAGGGTTCAAAACAGGTGAGTAAATTAACCAAGACCACAGCTAGTGAGTGAAGAGCTGAGTATAAAGGCAACACGTTGACGTTTGAAAACTCAGAAAGCTTCAAGGATTCTAATACCTATGGGCAATGGTGGCTCTTGAATTTCTAAAAGAATGGGTTTGGGGCTAGCAATTGGATTGGGGAAAGGCATGGGGGTTTTTGAAGCTACATTTGCCTAGCACCGTGGTCGGCAAACTGCGACTCTTTGGCCCCTTAAGTGTGGCTCTTCCTAAGCCTTAGGAGTACCCTAATTAAGTTGTTAACAGTGTACCTACCTATATAGTTTAAGTTTAAAAAATTTGGCTCTCAAAAGAAATTTCAATCGTTGTACTGTTGATATTTGGCTCTGCTGACTAACGAGTTTGCCGACCACTGGCCTAAGCAGATACTGTCTGCCCTCCACCCCACCTTCCTTATGACACTTCTTGGCACAACTTGAAAAACTACTTGATGAAAAAATACAGATAAGCGATACATCCAATAAAGAACTTGAGAATAGGGACAATGTGGAAAGAAAACCAGCAATAAGTAATCAACCTACTTAGAGAACTGAAACTAATGTACTGTCGTAGAAAAGAAGGAAAGCTAGGTTAAAATAAGAGGACTGAATATTCCTCTAGTTTTGCTCCCACCCTAAGCTCACACAAGACTAAAGGGGATTTTAAAAGAAACGAACACCACAAATCTCCAAGAACAGGAAGAACAAAAGAAAAGACAAAAGGGATAAGATCTGGAGGCTGTACAGCAGGTGGACAGTAGTAACTCAGCAGTTACTGGGCAGTGGAGAAGGTTGGAGCCAATACAGTTTATACCAGCAGTTGCCAACCTTTCGACTTCACGGACCACCAGTTGGCGACCGCTGATTTATACCACGGAAACTTCAAAGCCCCTGAAACTGACACCATCACACGTTAAAGAGCAAGGGTAGCCGCCAAAACAAGGAAGACTGATGGCAGTTGTTTGACAGCAATTAGGTCCCCATACCATTTCCTCCACGGAGCAGACGCTCAGTTCCACCTCAGCAATAGACTGGAGTTTACTCTGAAGAGAGTCACACAGACCTTGGGATGAGAGAACTCTAGACAAAGTTGAAGGTCAAGGTAATAAAACAGGATGATGAAGTGAGCTCATGCATACTAACTTGAATCCTCCCCAAATCCGTTTTCAGAATGCTGGAGGCTAGACCTTTTCCCTA